GGTTCAGTGACTGGGATATTTGGGATGGGAGTGTCAGAGACAGTGCGATTGGCACAGGACAGAGCGGAGTTTAGGGCTGTTGTACACAGGGTTGCTATGAGTCGCAGGCGACTCGACGACACCTAACAACAACAACAACAATAAAGTAATACAAATAAGTGGCAGCATTAAGAGTATGTTATTTCTGGTGTCAAGTTCAACAGAGCTGAAACGGGTACATAAAATGGGTGATGTTTTGCTCTTTTTGTTGGACTGGGAGTTTGATTTTGAGGAAAACTGTCCCACAGGGTTTTGGTTATTATCTTATTCTCAAAGAACCTGTCCCCTGTCTGTATTATGCAAGATGACAGAGAGCATCGCTGGTCAAACACTGTGGGCACCAAAATATCTAAATGTCCACAGGAAAAAGAAGAAAAAGTCAGAGTAAAAGCCTTCCTAAAAACTCAAAGGGAGTTGGGTGGAGAGGAGGTGGGGAGGAAGGAAAAAGAAAAGCAAACAAAAAGCCTTCACTATCATTTCAAAGCTTCTGGTTCTCTCTTTTGTTTAAAAACAGATTTTCCATAATTTTTTTTTAAAGTAAAAAGCAAGACAGGTTTTTAGGGGCCACTGAGGAGACTACAACTCAGAGAGACCCTGCCAACAAATGTGAACCTTGCCCTAGCCTGTAGTAAGGTAAGAAGCTGCACTGCAATCCCAAAGGCACTCGGTTCGAATCCACTAGCTGCTCTGTGGGAGAAGGATGGGCATCTCTTACAATGCAACTTACTGCCTGTGGACACCTGCTGGAGGGTCAGCTACGGGTCGGTTCTGACTCGCAATGTAGTGGTAACTTCTAGAGCACCAGGACGAGTGGGTGGCCTCCATGGTTTGAATCACCCAAGTGCTGTACAGATAAAGATGGGCATTCTCCTCCAGGGTGATTAACAGCCTCTGAAAACCTGCTCTACAGACAGCTAGGGGCTGTTTGTTTTTAGAAGTTAACTTCATTCTCTCTGCCTTCTTAATTTAGGTTTCCCTGAATTTACCAATCTGGATCCTCTGCCACCTTTGACCTCTGCTCATGGCTCTTCAGCTCTTTCTCAAAACAGAGAAATTCTCATGTGGAAGTAAAAGAACGCAATCATGTCATTAAAGGAGAAACTCCCTGCCACTTGAGAGAAATGAGCAAAAGCAGAGATCCCAGAATGAATTTACCAGTTGAACGGACTCCTAGAATGAACAAAAAGGTAGCACCAAGACACTTTGGGGACCGTTCTGACATTTTGGAACACTAACTCAGAATAGTGAGGTACAGTTCTTATCCAATACCCTTTACCAAATATTTGTCAAAACACACACTGGAAAATGTCAGGCCTCCCCCTGAGGAATGGCAGTGTGCCTCAGACATTTGTCCGGCAGGCCCTGACCACTGTACCTTTCTACGTGTAAAAAACACAAAATCAAAAATATACCTCCGATGTGTTAAAATATTTTACTATAACACAGTGATATTAAGGATACTATATTTTAAACAGTATACTTTAACTAATGCTACTGCATCTCTGTGTATATGATGCTATCATTTTGATGCAGGTCGCACAGTAGCATGCACTTGTTATTAGGAACCACTGTACAAATCTCAAACTGTAACAGGCTTTAGTTGACATGGTTTGTAACTACAGGCTGTGGACGGCTGGACATTCCCCATGTGGGGGCTGCCTGCACCTCTTTTTCCAGTTTTACTGTTGCTACAGAACCAAACAGAATGAGAGTTAAGTTCAGTTGGCTGTTATTCAAATTTGTCAGGGTAAAGAAAGGCCTTGCTCTCTGGACTGTCAAACACTATTTACTCTTCAAGGTCGAAGCTACCCACTTCCTACTCCGAGTTATTAATTTCTTCATTCATTTATCACTGTTAATGTGCTCCAAATATTCTTCTTAATGTATATTGTTCCTTTTACTTTAAAACCACTGAAGTATTTTATTTTGTGAAACTTATTTTATTTTCTCCTGAATTTCAAAATTCATTTTTAATTTTCCAATAGTTTGTTTTGCAGGTGTCACTAACTTCTCTGAAATTGTGACGTATGGTATAAGGCTAGCTTAATTTCCCCACAAGTGCAATTTTTCTGGTCCTTGGCTTTGCCTTTTACCACCTGGCTGCTTCTCCCTCTTTCTCTCACTGTCATCGAATTGAATCAACACACAGTCAACCCCTCCAATGAATTTCTGAGGCTGTAAATCCCACGGGAGTGGACTGCCAAGCTTACTGCTAAAGTGAGGGGGATGCCATGACTGGTCGGATTTGTAACACTTGTGGGGAGCACTAAGGCAGGACCGGGTGAAGGTGAAGGTTAGAGGAAGGCTTGCCTGCCAAGTGCACTTGAGAAGAAACTGTAAGGAATTGTACTGCCAACACAAAGGTATTTAGTTTAATTCCACCAGCCGCTCTAAGAGGGAAAAATGTGCAATCTCCTCCCATGCAATTAACTGCCTCTGAAAACCTGCTACTGGGTTGGCGAAGGGTTGGTTTCTACTCAAAACAACAACTTCCCTATTAAATCTCACACTCCTGAATATTCTCTGTGAGTTCTGTATGGCCATTGCAACTGACAAACAACAACTTAGGAGTACAGCCATGGGAAGTGCCGTTAATGCTAAATTTATGAAAGTAGTTGAGGAAGTCATGTGGCATACCTGACCCCTCCCCCCGCCCCCAAAACGGGTTTTGTGCTGCTGATGTTTTGATTTACTGATTTCCCGGGAGGGCTTTTCTGCCTCCAGCCCTCTGAAACCACTGGAGATCAGACCTTGCTGCTGCTCGCCTGCCAACAACACTGTTTTCATACCCACATAGGAACTTTTTATATAATCTCTTAGATATTTAACATTTTTAAAACACAATTTAGAGATAACTACAGGCTTAATGTTGTTCTACTTGAGAGTAGGATTTCTAATAATCTAATTGGTTTAATGCATTTTAAGAGAATGGTATAAATCTTATATTAATCCTTTTTAGTAAAATGATCAATATTCTGAAGCAAGTGGGGGAAGCAGCAGATGGTAGGAGGGTAGAGTCAGGGTTTCTATTGTTTTTTCCCCCCAAATGGAGAGAGTGGAACATGTTTAAATAATAAAAGAAGAAAACAGGTGAGAGGGAGAGGAGAAAGAAGACAAATACTGAAACCAGAGGACTGCAGAATCAGAATACCAAATTACACCCCAAACACTTCCAGAAGGAAGGGTCTCTACATTAAGTGTGTAAAGGCACAAGCAATTCTATCAATTACCAAGGGGAAAAACATTCCCCCATTTAATTTACTGAGATTACATCTACAAAATGAATTATCTTCATATACCTCAGGCAAACCCTTTTTTAGCTGCAGGAGACTAAGTATTAATACACTGAAGAACTTACTAATTGGAATTAAGAATTTTTGGCGTGTGAACGTCAGACAGAGTTAGACAGGCAGCTGCATTCACTACGCTCTCAGGCTTTGCAGGTCCTGCTTTTCAAGGGTTGATGAGAATTACTTGATCCTCATCTTCTGAAACTTTCACATAAAAACACCCAAGTCACGACCTTTCTTCTGGGGAGTTTGTGAGCACGATAATGCTTTTACAACAAATTTCTTGTATGTTAGCTATTTGTGTTTCCTAGTTGTACATTCTCAGCATCTGCTGCTCCCAAAGTGCTGTAAGCTTGGATTCTGATTAGAAAAGGAAAAGGAGATGGGTTGTGACGGAGTGACTGAGGGCTTCTGCCTGGAGCTGGACTGTCTCTCCTCTGACCATTCGGACGGCATTTCTGCTTACCTTGCAGGATTAAGGCTATGTTCTAAATGGGCTGAATTTGCCATGAAAACAACTTCATGTAATTCTGTAATTCAAATTATGAGTTTGAGCTACATTAGATTCCCTGGTCATTTTCATGACAAATTCTGAAACAAAATGTTCAGACGAGTAACTCACTTTATTTACTTCAGCAATTTCTCGCCTCTCTTCACTGGCAAAGCGAGGTGGGCCAGCCCAGTCATCATTCTTCGAGCCATCTTCTTCCACGTAGGGAATAAGTTGCTGGGAGAGAGAAAAAGAACTAAAAGTGAACAAAACAGGATCTAACTTGCACAGGTACTCTGGCATATATGAGAGTCAGAAACGACTCAAACTGACATTCCAGCAGATTTTTATCGACTGGAAAACACAAAAGAGAGTGCCCGTCTTTCCCCTGTGTAGCGATGCTGGTGTATTTGAACTGCGTGCCTTTGGGTTGGCAGCACACTTTCTTACCAGATGGCCCCAGCTCAGCTGAGTAGCAAAAACCATAGGTTAAGGAGAAGTTTATCATTTCCACACATTCTACATCTTTTCATTCTTCCCAACTCTTTTCACAATTAGGTAATAACACTCATTCATGCAGCAAATACTTAATTGCCAGACAATGAGTGAGGCACTGAAAAAGTGGCAATGCCAAGTGATTCTTGCTGCTAAGAAATTTACAGCCTATTGAGGTAGGTGCCGGAGATGGACCTTCCCTCATGCATACTAGAAAGGCTGGAGCTTCACAGGTGTGTGCTACAGAAATGCCAGTACCTGGCCAGCTGGATCCTCAGAGCCTGTGCAAGTCTCCCCAAGTCTTCCACTAGATGCTAGAACTGATTTATATGCACAAACACATGTAAATGAATCGTGTAACAGAATGATAATTAAATATGTATGATGATGGTTATCTAATGACATCCCAAGGTATCTGAAGGAAAGAATGAAAGCCTCCTTGATGTGACATCAGCAATTATCTAGTCTCCACTAGTGGCTCAGGGATAAGCGGCTGTACTGCAATCCCAAAGGCACGTGGTTCAAGTCTACCAGCTGCTCTGAGGGAGAAGGATGGGCAATTTCCTCCCATGCAATTGATTTACTGTCTCTGAAAATCCCCTGGAGAGAGACAGTTTTGGGTAGGTTCTAACTTGATGGCACACAAAACAACAAAAACTCCCCTACACCACTAATCAAAACCAAAGCCACTGGCATAGCGTTGATTATGACTGACAGTGACCCTCTACCAGTTTCTGAGGTTGTAAATTTTATAGGAGGTGACTGTTCCGCTTTCTCCTGGGCAGCTCCTAGTGGACTTGAACTGCCAACTCTTGTTTAACAGTGGAATAGGTGACACATTCCCTAAGCCCACATGGCTCCTTCTATTATGAAAGCAGGAATCAAAAGTCAAGTAAATGTCAACTCACTGCTACCCTCCAGGTTAGGGCAGAACTGCACCTTCCTGTGCCCAAGGTTGTGAATCTTTACTGAAGCTCACTGCTTCACCTGCTCCTGTGGATTTGAATCACAACCCTGTGGTTGGCTGTCTAATGCGTAAGCCAGTGCAGGAACAAGGATAAGCAATCCAACAATTATCCCAGCAGTGTGTAACTCTGGTAAAATGGAGTGTCGACAACCCAGATAAACTGAGGCCGCTTTTCAAAACAAATAAAAATGTACACACCATCACATCTTTCCTTCTCTCCTGGCGCAGAGATAAGCCTCCAATCCCTCCCGCTCCCTGTCTTTATTAGATATGCCCTTTCTCTCCTTCCCAGCCCGTTATTGACCTCATTATTTAAACACAGCAGGTCTTCCTATTTGGGGGAGAAAAAGAAAAACCTGGAATTCCATCCCTTTTTCCATCTACTGCTTCTTTCGCAGGCTTTTTTATTCAAGTTTTTGGAAAGACTGATACCCATTTGCTGGCTCTAGTTCCCTCCTGTCTTAATTTTCAACCCACTGCAATCTGGCTTCTGGCTATCACCATCTCACTAAAGCAATGCTCAAATGTATCAATAGTTTCCCCTTAGAAACCCCCCCAGCCACTGTTCATCCCTCTGACTGCAGCATTTGGTAGTGACAACTCTCTGATCCTTCTCTTATATCTCCAACCACTTCTTTTCAGGCTCCTGCAGTTTACTTTTTCTCTGTTTGTTGTCCAAAAAAGGAAGAACTGATCATGAAATTGCTTTAATACACAAGAAAGTTTAAACTTTTCCAGCTGCCACTGCTGGTAGAAATAGAATTTATCAGGATAGGACTATGTATCTATAAAAATAACATGTATATTCAATTAAAAACTATGACTCAAGATTAAATTTGGAGACTGCTTTAAAAATAGTGAAGCCACTGGATTTCATAGCAAGTCTGAAAAAATGATGAAAAAAATTCTCTGTAGCATTCCTCCATGAAAATAACTTGAAAAAGATTTTACAACAGTATTAAAATTCCTACTAAAGTGAAGAGAATTGCCAAAGACAAGCCCCTACCAAATAAGATCATTGCTATAAACCTGGCAGCCAGAATCCAAAACAAAGTTATATAAAACACAAAAATAGCAGTATTAGTCCTATATAAATAGTATAGTTTACATTCTCATTTGCTCAGGGAAAAACAAAACACAAAAAAACACCCCAACAAAAAAACCCCAAAACTGCTATCTTACTTAATAAGATAGAATTTCAGTTTAAAGAAGGGAAAACACACATACTTGAAATGGTCTCAAATCCACTGTCTCTTTGTCAGAAAAACCTACCTCTACTGGAATGGGGTCCATCCCACCGCAGTTCTCGATGCATTTGTCGTAGACCAGTCTCAGCTTTCTGAAGAGGATGGAAAGTTGGCGAAGATGATCCTGCAGCTTTGCTAAGCGGTCTTGGTAAGTTCCAGTGTGGTAAGTGACACCATTTGGCAGCTTACCAGGCAAAACAGAAGAATAAAAATATAAAGTCGTGACCATCAAGATTTTCTGGAAGCACAAGCGAGTAGACAGAAACTATCTATATATTGTAAAAAAGCAAATGCTTCTTCATATTTAACCATGTTAAGAACTTCTCCCAGAAGAAGATCCCTAACTGTCATCAGATTCTCAAATGACTAAGGAGAACAAGCTTACAAATAATTTCTCCAGACTGAGAGTGTACAGATACTTTTCCAAACTCAAGCTCACTGCCACTGAGCCAGAAACAACTTTCAGCTGATCCTCCAGCTGGGTTTCAGAGGCTGTATACTGCACAGGAAGAAAGTGCCTATCTTTTCTCAAAGAAGCAGCTGGTGGATTTGAACCGCCAGAGAGGGGCCACCTCAGGGCTAGCAAAGCAACTCCCTATGGACCACGCCACCAGAATTCCCTGTAAGTACTCTTAGCAGTTTGTATTTGTGGAGCTTCTTCTCTGGATCACTGATTCAGAGGACAGCTTTAAAAAGCAGAATCCTTTAAAAGATGGATTCCTCAAGAACTAAGTTCTCTGCAGTCCAGACCTTCCTGTTATCACCATCTCTTCTTTTCAGTTCTGTGCAAACACAAGAAAAAGCATGTGGTTGCTCTTTACCAACTAATCATGATGTGCCCCAAAGGCAGTGACAGTGGCAGGACAAGAGGAAGAACCATCTTAGTCATGTTCAAACTAAAATTTGTTCTTTACAGATGTCATTATTTCTAATCAGAATTATCAAGTGGTTGGTATAAAAATCTTGGGAAGAATAATCCATCTTTCTCCAACTCTCGGTTTCCGTAACCATGGAATGGGGATGAAAGTTCTTCTGGAACTTGTGCTCATGATAAATGCAGCAGCAAGTAAGGCACTGACAGCTATACCGACCATGGGAAAAATTTTACAAATATTAGCTATTCCTTCTCTCAGAACTAATGCGTGCATGTTAAAAATAACTAGTGGCTAAGTCCTAGGAGGTCATTTACTTGGAAAAATTTTACAAATATTAGCTATTCCTTCTCTCAGAACTAATGCGTGTATGTTAAAAATAACTAGTGGCTAAGTCCTAGGAGGTCATTTACTCCTTATCTTTATCTTGTTAGGTGTGCTACACAATCAGAGACACTTATGGTTATCCTAAGAATCCAGAATTAAGGCAGCATAGTGGAGTGTACTTGGGGCGGGGGTGATTGCACACCAATGAAAGAATTTTTCTTTTCTCAAAGAGAAGAGCGAACTGGGGGGGAGGGGTGGGCAGGGAGAAAAGTGCAACAATGAATGGATGGAAATCCAAAATCTCTGTAAATGTTCATTAAAATTAACAAAATAAAATAAAAAAAAAAATGACCCCAAAATGATCTTTTACATGCCGCTGCTGCTGCTACGTGCCATCGAGTCCGGTCTGACTTACAGGGACGTACGAACAACAGATCTGAACCCCATTCAATGCTGTGCCATCCTCTCATCTCTGATATGCTGGAGTCCATTGCTGCAGTCACTATGTCAATCTATCTTGAGGGTATTCCTCTCCTTCACTGACTCTCCATCTTTCCAAGCCTCACATCCCCTTTCAAGAAATATCCTGTCATAACAGCATGCCTCAAAGTATGTGAGATAAGGCTTTGCCATCCTATCCTCTGAAGAGCACTCTGGCTACACCTTCTCCAAGACATACCTGTGTGTACTTCTGGTAGTCCCTGGCATATTCAGTACTCTTCTCAAATACAACTCAAAGGTATCAATTCTTTTTCTGTCATGTTTATTCACTGTTCACATTCCAAACATACAGTAGCAACTGGAAAGACTATGGCTTAAATCAGGTGCATCTTAGTCTTTAAGCTGACATTACTGTTCTTCAGGACTTTGAAGATTTGATTATATTAATTTTAAATATAATTGTCATAATTTTATACCTCTTTTAGATTGTCTTTGTATTGATTGCTTTTATAACATTTAATACTATCCTGAAAACATATTACTTTTATAACTAGGGGAAGAAACCTCCCAAAAGTTTATACCCTCTAATTCATAGGTTTGCACCATTTCTGAAATAGCTTGCCTCCAGAAATTTTATGAATTTAGAGAAACAATGAAAGTTAAACAAATGTTCAGGTCATTTCATTCATAGGGTCATTATAAGCTGTCTACCACTCCACGGCACTTAACAGCAACAATTCAGAGATAAGCAAGTATTAAAAATAGACTAGCAAAATGGCACTGGGGAAAACTATATACAAATGCAAAAACACTAACTTGGATCCATACATCTCACCACACAGAAACAGTAAAATAAAAAGTAACAAAAAGCTAATAGCATTTCTTGAAAAATAGAGGGAAAAAACAATCTTTGTGGCTTTGGGCCAGACAAAGCTTTAGACTTGACACCAAAAGTAAAGTGCATAAATGAACAACTGAAACAGTATCTCCAACAAAATTAAAACCTAAAGACAAAGTACTGGCAAAGCAAAAACCCACGCAGTAACAAGTGGTGGTGAGGACGTGGAGAAATTCTGCTCAATTCATTGCCTTCAAGTTGGAACTGACTCATAGCTGACCCTCCAGTGGGTTTTCAGAGGCTGTACTCCCAACACTCATCATCCTCTGGGAAAGAAGAGACTCTAAATGCCCATCCATCAACTGGATACTGAAGACTCCAACCACAAGTGAGGACACTGCCCATCTTTCTTCCCTGGAGCAGCTGGTGGATTTAAACTACTTGTCTCTGGGTCTGTGGCATAATTCACTACCACAGGGCCATCAGAGCTCTCTGTGGAGAAATGAAGACACTCATGTATAGGAAGTGGTAATGTAAAAATGGTGCATCAATTTATAAAAAAAAATTCTTAAAATGTTAAACCAACATTTACCACATGACCTATCTAGCAAATCTCTCAAGTATTTAGCCAAGAGAAAAGAAACCTGCCCACAAACAAATTCAAAAGCAAATGTTCACATCATTTTTTCACAACAGTTCAAGTGGAAGCAAGTCCAATACTCACGAAGAGATGAATAGGTACAAAATTCATGATAAATTCAAACCCTGTAATACTGTTATTGTTAAACGCCACTGAGTGGATTCTGACCAACAGTGAGGCCATGTGACAGAACTAACCCATGGGGTTTTCTGGGGTTATAATCCTTATTGAAACAGGTGGTCACGTTTTCTCCCCAGGATCTATCTGCAGGCTGGGTGCAAACTGCCCAGGCTTAAAAGTGAGGATGGTGGAGAGACTGTTATGAAGATGGGTCAGTCTCTGAAGAAAGACACATCAAGTTTGGTAAAGTAGAGGTCAGAGAAAAAGGATACCCACATCAAGTTGGTTTGACACAGTGGCTGCCGTAACAGGCTTCATCAGAGCAGAAGTGGAGAGAACAGCCAGGGCTGGGCAGGGTTCTGTGCTGTTGTACACAAGGTCACTAGTCGTCAGAGCCCACCAGGCACTGAATAATGAGTGACTTTACATTAAAGTCTAGGGCTTTTAATATAAAGTGTGCAACAATGAATGAATGGAAAGCCAAAAAAAAAATAAATAAAAAAAAAAAATTGAGATCCACAGTGTATATAAACCCTGTAAGAAAACTAAAAAAAAAAAAAAGAATGTATATGACTGTACAAAATGCACAAAATGCAACATATTTGAATAAGACATAATGTAAAGGATTATATAAAAACCAATAAAAATATTTTTAAAAAGAAAAATAAAGTCAAGGGCTTAATGATTTGCATCATCAGTGTTCCTTTTCTTTTTTTTTCCATCAGTGTTCTTTAATGTAATACTACTCATAAATAAAAAGGAAAGGACTACTGACATATACTGGGAAAAAGTAGCCAGAAAAAAGACATTACAAACAGTAAAACTAGGAGAAGTTCAAACTTGTTCATGGCAGAAACCTGTTAAGAGACGGAAAACGCAAATCTTTTCCACTGAAAGAGGTGACAGAGAAATTAAAGTTAAGAAAAGAACCTTAGTAATTTGGTAAGTTAAAGGCAGAAAATATTTGAGACTTGGGAAAACAAGGTACTTTCACTGAGCTCAGGTGGTCCACTGGGTAGAGGGTTGTACTGTCAATCGAAAGGCACGCTGTTCGAATCCACCAGGAGCACTGTGGGAGAAATATGGGCAATTTCCTCTTGAGAGATTTAGAGCCTCTGAAAACTGGCTGGAAGGTCACTTTAGAGTTGGTTCTGACTTGATGACATAAGACACAGACTTCTGAATGCCAGCTCTCACTGGCTTCACCGTGGCCTAACCAAACCAAAACCACTGTCACAAGTTCATTGTGACCCCTAGAGACTCTTCGTTGGGGGTTCTGAGGCCTGTAAATCTTTTAACGGAGCTCTGGTGGCAGAGTGGTAAGGAACTGTGCTGGCAGCGTAAAGGTCTGAATCCATCAGCTGCTTTATGGGAGAAAGATGGGCAATCTCTTCCTGCGCTTTTCCTGCCTCTGAAATACGTGTTGGAGGATAAGCCACAGGCTGGTTCTGACTAGACGGTGGTGGTGGTTGTTTGCCGTTGAGTCAATTATGACTCATAGTGACTATGAACAAAAGGCCTGAAGCCCTTCTATTATCTATAATCATTTATCAAAGTTCACAAAGTTTCTAGAGGCATGTTGTTTAGGAAGTGGATGCCACTCCTGCTTCTAGATCTATCTTTAAACTGAGTTCCACTAAACACTGCCCACCAATGGCATTTGACACCCCAATGGCACAAGGTTCAGCATCACAGCAACCCAAGGTTACCTCAGCACAGCATCTTGACAGAACAGTGTTCTAACACTTAGAAGAATGTTCCTCCAAAATATAGTAACAGCTGACTTCTAATACAAAGGCCCTCCTCGAAGTCCTGTTGACTCTAAGCATGAGGCTTAAATAAAACCACTAAAATAGTGTGGTTTTGTATGTGCCTTTAAGTTGCCTGTGATGTACAGTGACCCAATGTACAGGAGCTCTGAACCCTTCCCTGCATTAAGCCTGTCTCACTAATTCCAACATACCAACCCCCATTGCCCCAGATACTGTCTCAATTCATCTCATCCAGTGTCTTCCTCTCCTGCGCATGTCTTCCAACCTTCTGAGCATGATGACCTTCTCCAAGAACTAGTCTTTCCTGGCCATGTGCCCAAAGTACGTGAGACAGAGCTTCAAATTCCTAGCCTCCAAGGAGAGACTTGGTTTCACCCTCTCCAAGACAGACTGATTTGTTTTCTTGGCAGTCCATGGTAAGTGTTCTGAAATTCCCATTCTCAGTGTTAATCATCATTTGTTATGATCCACACAGTCAAATGCCTCTGCATAGTTAATAAAACATAAAAACTCATTCTTCTGGGAATCTTTGCTTTCCGTAAGGATCTATCTAACATCAGCAATGATATCCCTGGTGCTATAGCCTCTTCTAAACCCAGCCTGACTGACTGGCTGTTCCCTAGCTATGTACCCATTTTTTAATTATCTTCAGCAGTATTTTGCTTTCATGTACTATTAATGGTATTGTTCATTAATTTCCGTATTCTGTTGGATCACCTTTCTTGGGAATAGGAACAAATACAGATCTCTTCCAGTCAGGCATCCATTCTCCAAATTTCTTTGCATAGACTGGTGAGTGTCTTAAATCCATCAAGAGAAATGTCTTAAGAAAAGACTGATGGACAGTCATAAGCACAATGGGTGAAGATTGATGCAAAGGGCCCTGAACTGGGACTTCTAGCCTCCTAAACTTAAAAAGGACATCAGGTGGCCTAGTAGGTAGAGTTGCCCTGTTGACTCAAAGGTGTATGGTTCAAATCCAGTTTGCTCTGCACCTGTGAGATTTACAGCCTCGAAAATCGCCTGGAGACATAATTAGGAGTTGGTTCCTACATGACAGCGAAGAGTGTTTTTAAGACTCTTTAAACTGAAAGAAAATTAGCCTGCCTGTTAGAGCAGATCTATTACATTCCTCTTGCGGAATGTCTGTTACAGCAACACTTCTAACTAAGAGAATATAAAGTTAAAACTTTAAACAGATATAGTCTCCTGCATAATTACACCAAAATGAAGCTGTTAAAAAGGGGGCGGGGGGAATAAAGTAACCTAAAGAAGGTGTGTGGAGTGTGATTGATCTGTGCCTTGAATGGAAATAACTCCACATAATTAACATTTTCCATACTTAGTGAAGAACCGGCCACATCTAGAAAATGTGGCTTCAATAATATTGGGAGAACAGCACCTTAACCCCGTATTCTGGGTGAGGGTGACAACTGGGGACACATCTGAACGTGAATGGGGTGACTACCCAGGACAGCCTCTGAGACACCCACAGACCCCATCAAAGCATCACCCTGCTTCCCCCACGCGCAGAGTCCTCCAGGCTCCTCACCTGCATGTTCCTCAGGAGCTGAAAGATCTCCATCGTGCGGTACACGATGTCCTGCACCGTCTCCTGCCCGATCCGGCAGAGCGACGCCGTGTTGACCTCTCGGGCGGCCTGCTGAGCCTGGGGGCCCGCGAAGGGCCCAGGCGCCATCCCGGACGCCATCCCCGACGCGGCCAGCGGAGGCGTGGACATGGCGCGCCTGCGACCCCAGGCCACAGGCTAAAGCCGGGCTCTTGAGGGGTGTCTTCTGTCGGGGGCTTCTGTGTGCCCCAAACCCAGCAGACGCTCAGTCTCAGACAGAACTCTGGTTCCCCAAGACCCCGCAGCCCAATTTCAAAGCAGCGCCTACGACTTCCGCGTCATGACGTAGCACGTCACAGCGCGTAAAGCACCGCCCACTCCGCCGACCATTCAGAAGCGACTCTGAGCGAAGCGATGCGCTATTGGGCCGATGGCTGGAAGGGGCGGGGCCGACCCTAAGGGTGGAACATTCAAGTTCCTTTGGTGATTGGTGCTTGTCGTTTTGCTCTGAGCAAAAAGGAAAAAAAAGAGTGATCAGAAGGGGGTTTGCTTTGTATACCAATGAAAGAATTTTCCTTTTACTTTTTAAAGAGAGGAGCGAACTGGGGGCAGGGGTGGGCAGGGAAAAAAGTGCAACAATGAGTGAATGGAAATCCAAAATCTCTGTAAATGTTCAATAAAATTAATAAAATAAAATTTTTAAAAAAGGGGGGGGTGCTTTCCAAGGTCTCAGTCCCACTTTAGAAATCTGGACGGATCTTTTAGTTATATGCATTGGTGAACATGTTCTGGTTCACACTTCATCAGACTTCAGTCTTGTGAGATTGGTCCAAAAAGATGGGAAGTAGTCCATTCTGGCGCTTGCAACATCATACCTGTCAATCTGAGATTCGAACCCTCAGCTCTGTCTACTTCCCAGGTTCTTTTCGTCTGTGCCCAAATGGCGTGTTACTTAAGAAGCTTATCTAGTTATCCTATGTTAAAAAAAAAAAAGGTTAACATTCACAATACTTCCTCTGGCTCTTAATACTTTTGTATACATGTAAAATCAGTTCAAGCAGGATTTAGATGAGGCCATGGCACCAGGGATATTTTATTACTGATGTCAGATGGATCCTGGATAAAAATAAAGAATACCGCAATGATGTATATTTATGCTTTATTGACTATGGGAAGGCATTTCACCTGTGGGCATCATAATAAGTTATTACTAACATTGAAGAGAATTGAAAAGACACTTAATTGTGCTCATGTGAAACCTATACATAGATCCATAGATCAGGAGGCTGTTGTGTGAACAGAACAAGGGAACACTATATGGTTTAAAATTAAGATGCAAATGTGTCAGGATTATATTTTCTCTCTGTACCTATTCAAAATGTATGCTGAGCAAATTATTCGAGAAACTGGACTCTGAAGAGGAACATGGCATCGGGAAGGAAGGGAAATTCATCAATAACCTACCTTATGTAGATGGCACAACTTGCTTGCTGAAAGGGAGGAGGACTTGAAGCACTTGTTGAAGGAGATCAAAGAATATTGCCTTCGATATGGATTGCATCTCAATGCCAAGAAAACAAAGATACTTACCACTGGACCTGTAGGCAGCATCGTGATAGATGGAGAAAAGATTGAAACTTTCAACAACTTCATCTTACTTGGATCCACAATTAACACACTTAGTGCCAGCTGTCAGGAAGTCGGGAGACATATTGCAACAGGAACGTCAGCAGTAAGAGAACTCTTGAAATTATTGAGATGTAATGTCAGTTTGAGGAAGAAGGTGCATTTGATTCAAGCCATGGCCTTTCCAATCACTTGCTATGCATCTGAGAGCTGGACAGTAAATAAGGATGACAGAAGAAGAATTTTTTGAGTTGTGGTGTTGGAGAAGAGCACCAAACATACCACAGGCTGCCAAGAAACAAAAGTTTCTTGGAGAGGGTGCAGCCAGAGTACTTTTTGGAGGCAAAGATGTTGATGCTTTGTTTCACATACTTTGGACATGTTTCTAAGAAGGGCTATTCTTTGGAGAGGGACATGATACTTGGAAGGGTGAAGAGTCAGCGAAGGAGAGGAAGACTTTCAGCCAGGTGGATTGATGTGGTGACTGCCTCAATGGGCTCTAATGTGTCAGGAAATGTCAGGATAGTGCAGGATAGAACTGGGTTCAGATCTGTTGTTCATAAGGTTGCTATGGATTGTACTCAATTTGATGGTACCTAACAATACAATATAGGGAGCTCTGTTGGCCTAGTGGCAAGAAGTTGTGCTACGATCCCAAAAGCTCATGGTTCAAAGCCACCAGCTGCTCCACAGGAGAAAGATGGAAACTCAGATCCTGTGTGATTTACTGCCTCTGAAAATCCCCTGGATGGTAAGTCATGGGTTGCTGCTGTCTCAAGGGGTATAATTTTTTAATTTTAATTTTGTGTGTGTGTGTGCGCCGTCAAATAGGATCTGACTGTTATAGTTGGAGTATATATATGATTTTTTCATAATTTCCTTAAACCTAAATAGATAAACTAGAATACAAGCTCTGTGAAAGCAGAGACTATGTTTTATTTACTTACAATACTCTATGTGGTTGGTACATGGAAGTTGCTCAATAAATATTACCAAATAATTGTGAAAAATTACAAATGGAAGAAGGAAAATAACAAATCCTTTCTCACCCTTCCTAACTTCAAAAGAGGGTGGAGTCAAAAGGTGAAACTTGATGACAGGTACAAAATGACTGTATTTTAAAACTATTTCCAGGTGTCTTTAGTAAGGCCTTTGTCAATAGTCACTCCTTCCCCTGCTCTTAGAGACCCTGCAGGGGATTCCTGAGACTTAACATTTTAACTTAGAGACCTTGGTGGGAGCCCTGCAGAGATGCCAGGCCTTTGGATTAGCAGCTTAGTGAGACTCCAAGACCTTTTCTAGACATAAGTTACAAAAAAATTACATAAGGCCTTCTGTAGAGAATGATTTCTAAAGTATGATTTCCAGCTTTTTTGTCATAAATTATTTTGAAAAATAATTACTGAACATCTACTATATGCTTGGTGCTGGTACTGGAGGTAAGATACTGAACAAGCAGTGTCATGTAGAGACAGAAAACTATTGTGATAAATGTTTTGAAGCAAAAGTTCAAATCTTTATAAAGAGAGCTAACAATTTAGTACATCAAAGACAACCTCTAAGTCACCGCTAGAGAGAGGGTTCTAAGTCAGGTCGAAATTTCATATTGTTTTCCAAGGTCTTAAATCCCAACGAGACATGACTGCCCATCTTTCTCCTGTGAAGCATTTGATGAATTAGAACTGCTAGCCTTTTGCTTGGCAGTCTTGTGCATATACAATTATGCACATTCAGGGAATAAGCTGGTACCTCATTGGGATGAGGCACAGTGCTGAATGATGTTTTGCTTACCACAAGTCTCTAGTGCAAACCCTCCCTGAGAATCAAACTCAAAATACCAGTTTATCTGACATCTTGACTTGAAGGCCTAAACTGTACCTCACTTTGACCAGCCTCCCAGTGCTCCTAAGCTTCTTCCATTTCAGCAAACGGGACCACCATGTGCTCGGATGCTGACTGGATGTCTTTATTTCTCATCCCTCTCCTAACGTCAGAAAATAGGATGGACACTAAAGTATGTCTTGGAAAAGGGGCTTCTGAAGTGCTCTTTGAAGGCAGACGGCAAAGCATTGTCTCTCACACTTTGGACATGTTGCTAGGAGATGCTATTCCTTGGAAAAGGATATCATGATGGGCTCGGGCTCAGCTATTCTCACTCTCTCTGTCACTTCTTCTGTGATCATTGTCACATCTCTCAGACCCATTCTTACACTGTACTCTTTACTTTTAAGGTCTATGTGATTTTATTGTACTCTCATTGGCATAATCCAGGATGATGTCCCTTTTTCAAGGCCTTTAGTATTAATCGTATCTGAAAATGTCATTTTGCAGGCACTTCAACACATTTACAGGTTTTATGGAGTAGTGGCTGGATATCTTTTTGGAAGTATTATTCTTTTTATTACATACACCTCTCCATCTTTCTCTATCCACCCACTCTGGGTTTGTTTGTTTGTTTGCTTGTTTGTTTAAGTGCTTACCATAAAATGAGGCTGTTTGCTTTACTGTGTCTCTTGCCAACTATCCAGTAAATGTCATTAAGTCAGAGACTGTCCCTGTAGGTCACTGAGGCACAATTAGTGCTTAGAGCAGTGCCTGGCACATAGTAAGTGCTCAATAAGTAATGATTGCAAGAATCATGAGTTTACTCTCAGCCACCTCAATTATGAAATGCTTGTAATAGGTGCAGCTACCCAAGGAGTAATTAAATATATACAGGGAAACTAGTACTTGTTTTTTGGAGGAGAATGTTGTAGTGTGATAGTGATAACTCAAAAAGCTGTTAGACACCTTGGACTAAAAGTCAAATCTGGCACTTTCTGACAAATCATGTCAACTTCCATGTAAAAATGTGGGGTTACCAATGAGATTTACCCTTGGGGCTGTTGATAGGATTAGATCCTATCAGTATGCAGACTGTATTCAATGCTACACACTCACTCTTCACTGACATAGATCTTCCAAAGACTAGCTTCTGATATGAAAATCAGTATTAAGTAAACATAAGTTAACTACCAAGTTACATCATTGTATAACTACCAAACCACTGAGAATCATGGTCAAGACAAATTGACATGTAAATTTGGCCATTACAGCCTATTTCTAGACATCACAACACGTCAACATTAGTTATTGTCAGGCATATGTTATTATCACACAAAATGACTGATGTTTTGCTATTTTCATAAATGCCAAGGGCTGAATAAGAAGACATTCATAAGGGAAAGGAATAGGTGTACGTCCCCTGAGGTAGCAGTGATTTCATTGCAGAATTCTCCTCCTCCAGGCAGTAGACCAAGGTTTGATGTCCAGACAGTACCTCTCAAATGCAATGCCTGATTGTATGATGATATCAGTGGAGCGTTCAGGTAAAACGGATTAGGGAGAAGGCCTTGAAGATCTACTTCCTAAAGCCAGTCAGTAAAATCCTGTCAACTACAACAATTGTATTCTCTTGTGCAGAATCACAATTAGTCAGGGCCTGATAAGACAACGGCTAGAAACAACATACATCCTTTTATGAATATTTAAAGTGAGAAATGAGA